TTTCCTTCTGCATTCTGCTTGGCACTACAGATGGGAGAGGACACTCAGTGGGTAATTGGTTCCTGTTCCCTCCCTCTTCCTCCTTCCCTGTTATTCATACGCATCACGGTTACTGTCTCTTCCATCTTGTTGAGTTCAGAGTAAAACTAGTCTTGGGCATCTTGCAGAAGTTGGAAGGACTGGGTAAAGTGGACCTTACAGGAGAAGTATAGGTGCTATGGGAAGGTGACAGCCAGGAAAAATGGAGAACACTTCTGTGCTGCCACACTGAATAGTGCACCACAGACCCAATTTGGAACTTAGTTAACGAATTCCTTATTAAGTTTTGACTTTCCCTTTCATTTCTATTTAATGGATATGTTGTCACTCCTCCCCTCCATTCGCTGTATAGGCAGAGCCAGCTCTGCCCATAGATTTCATGAAGCTGCCTGCTCCTTGGAGCATGCTGTGCTGTGTTGCAGCACGCATCAGCAGTGCTTGGTCCCAAGCATAGGAGCCGAGAGAGCTTGGGCTTCAGGATGAGTAGGTCAGAGTTTCCTTGCATTGCAAGGACATCTTTTTGCCACAAAGCAGAGATGATTGGATGCAATCTGGAAATGTAAGGAGGACCACAATTAATTCTCTGGGCCAGTGAGTTTTTTCTTGCTTTGCAGGGGATTAGAGGTGGGGACTCTTAACTCTGAAGACAAACAGCAAATCCAAATCCTACTTTTTCCCCAGGGCTTGACAGCTTGGGAAAATGGAAGACTTGCAAAGAGCTTGAAGAACTCCGATATGTCACTGCTTCCCTCCCTTGCAGTGAACACGTACAGATACCAGTGTATTGGTTTCTTCGAGGTTGGATTCCTAGCCTGCAGCTTCTTGTGATGAGTGTAGTAGGAAAGGGTAGAATAGCTAACATCTGGCTTGATTATGCAGAATTATTCAGTCATTTCCGTAATGCCCTTTGTAAAATGCTTCCTGCTTGATAAACTAGTCTTCCTCCTGCTTCAGACAATGATGTACCAGAAATCCTCCCTGCGTACGGTAATATCTGGAAATGAATTGGATTCTCTACTTTCTTTTTCCTTTGGCCTTCACTGCCTGTCGGTGTAAAGTGTGAAGTTCATCTCCTACAAGACTATGAATAGGGATGAGGTGTAATAGTTGCATTTATTACTCCTCGGTGAGCCAGTAACAATGCATAAATGATCTGATGTATTCATCTAAAATACGGCTTGGTTTGAGAGCAGTCTGTAGAACAAAAGTCTGCTGTGCCAGGCTGTTTCAGTGGGGGAAAATTGACAGTGTAATAAGTTTCATTTTTACAAACTCAATATTAATTGGATTTGCATATTTTGGCTAGCTTTCTTTGGTCTTATCACTAATCCTTCTTTTGACTTTGGAATCACTCTTATCTGTCATCTCTTAAATAAGCTAAGAGAGACAGAGGCTGCTGTCCGAGGTTGCAAAAGGATGGATCTGTATGGAAACATGGCTGTTGCAGAAGATGAGGGGCCTCCTATACGTTTCTGCTGTGACCTCAAACACGGATAGAAAGATGCTCTTACGACTTTTTAACAAAAGGCAACGTGCATGTGATTTGTACTCCGAGCTCTAACACCTACCTCTGGTAGCTAATATTGCATCAGTTGGCTTCTGTGTGGTGTAGGGGACAGAGAAATGCTAGGAGACAGAAGAGGGATCCAGAACAACAAAGAGATTTGTCAAATTTTATGGATTTTTCTAGTGGTTAGTTATCATCTAATAAGTCACTGCCTTGTAACTTTGCTGTTCTCAACTCACTGTATCCTTTTCACCTGCGCTTGGAGAGAGAGGTGTGTGAAACTTGGTGGTATCTTCTGACCACTATAAAATGCATTTGCCATGAGATCTCCCAGGAAATATGTTTGGCGGGCCCAGAACCAAGCTGAATTTCCAGGTGTTTTATGAAGAGGAAGAGGATGGGAGCCTTTTTGTCTCTATGCACACGTGTTCCTGGCCACTTCTGCTTTATGCCATGCTGTGCGTTTTTTAGATATTTTTATAACATCCACTCATATTTGAATAAGATACCTAGAATCAGTTTAAGTGCTCTTTTAAAGCAAATAGCCCCCCAAACCTCACGTATAACCTGATCAAATGGAAGATCAAAGCCTTTAATGAGGTGTTCTGGCCTGCTAGCCCATTCCCCATGAGACTCTCCCCTACCCCTCCCCTGCACGTCCTTCATTCCGAGTGCACGTTGCCAGGGCGTAATCCGTGCTCTGCATGTGATAAGAAACCGTATACCAGGCAAAAAATACCAGTCTGGTGAACAAAAGCATAGGACACAGATAAGCCTAGAGATGTCTCTGTAGTGAATAACCCCTGCAGATCTCTGCTTGTTTCCTCCTGGCTATCGGTCATCCATTGAGTGCTTTATAACTATTCACAGGAGCAATGTGCCGCTTGCAGACAGCACTCGTAGTAGGCTTTGGAGCCTGTCCTGAGCACTGAGTTCTCTCAAGCATGTAGGACGTGTGGATGCTCAAAAAAAGCACTTTACCACTGAAAAAAATGGTCTAGAGGTTTTGTAAAGGGAGTTCACAGTAGGACAACTTATAGGTGGGCCGCAGGATGATCTGGAGGAAGGGGTCCAGAGAGGACATACTGTTTACGGAGCGTGGAGATGAAGGTTGCACGGGTGGTATACGGTTGGCTATTTCAGTTATCTCAAACTGTAGCTGTGTAGCTTGGCAGAGATCATCACTAAAATGCCCTGGTGCACTGTAAGGTCTCTTTGCTATTATGGAGTGGCCCGTTAGATCTCAAAGCTGGTTTTGTGCCCTATACGGGAAGGGCAGCTGTCTTCAGAGGGAAACAAAGCTCATCTATCTGAGCTTTTGTAATAGCAACTTGGAAGCACGTATGCCTTTCTCTTTCTTCCAGGTTTTTGAAAAGAGCTGCATATCAGAGGAACATAGCCAAGCTGCATTGTGTTTTTTCCGTAGTTCATAGCTGTTCCCTAGAAAACTAAAGCTTTCAGGAAGTGAGCTTCCTGTCAGTTTTATTTTCATTCCTTTTCAGTTACCCCACTGGGTTTTGTGGAGCTGCTCAGGACTACTGGCAGCCAGTATTGTGGGTTGAAGCAAAAGCACTGATGCATGAAACATGAAAAATTGTGCAGGGTTTATCATACAGATGACAGGCTCAAGACAGGATGAGTTTTTGGTCTCATTAACCTGGAGAAACGCTCCTTTCTCCAGTAGGTGTATGGAGCAGTTCTCCAAATAGTTCTATTCATAAAGCAACAAAAAAGCCCCTCTGTTCCCTGCGCTTTCCCATCATAGCATTTCTGTCTGTCCTGGACACGGCAAGCGAGTGAGACGTGTTTGTAGCAGTGCAGTGAGGTGAGCTCTACTCTGGCCATCTGACACTTAGCTTAAATGAACTCGGTCTTTCTCTCCTCTCTCTCCTTCTCTCTTTCAGCTTGGCAGTGACCTTGGCGGGGGCATTGGAGGAAGCCCGGCAGTAAGTGCCATTCCATTTTTTTCCCCAATTTAAAAAGCTGCCCAAAGCTCAGGACTTTTAAATACGAGCTTACGCATTATGTGTTTGAAGATGCTTAAATCCTTGAAAGTGTTTGAACACGGGCAACTGCAGCTGAAACACACAGGTCCTAACCTATGTTGCCTTGAGTGAAGTTGCCACTTGGGCGCTCCTGAGAGCCGCAAGAGCCAGAGCTATTGACTTTGCTTGGCTCTCCTTTCTCCGAGCTCTTAGCTAAGAAAGGTTTGAGCACCCATATTCAAGCTGGCAACATCCCAGTCCTTGCATAACTGCTTTGGCAGCTGAAAGGCCAACAGTGCATGCCTCTCTGCACCTAAAACCTGTTCTGCTACCACAGTAACCCCTTGTCACCACAGGCTTGTCTGACCTGGATGGCTCAGTGCTTGTCTCCTCTCAAAAGCCAGTAAGACTCTCCCTGGAAGTCAGGATCCAGGAGAGATACTCTGAGCTTTCGTATTACGTGTGCTCAGCACTAAAATCTGCCCACCACCAGCCTCCTTTTCTGTGCCTGCATTCTGTGGCATCCCTAGGACCTAGAGTGCTTGCCCAGGAAATGGGATACTTCCAAAGCACCCGTGGCTTCAAATGCATATCACCTTCTTCTAGAGAAGTGTGGGAAAAGGATGCAAGATGACTTGGAGACACAGCAGGCAGGAGGGAGTGTGCCCCCTCCTACTGAAAGCAATCTCCTGGAGAAGGCTCCAGTCCTCCTTCCTAGGACTGTTTAGCCAGTAATTTAAGGGGAAAAGCATATTCAGTTCTGGAAGGAGGGCCTTTCAGGGACCCTTGTTGTTATGGCTGCTCCTCCTTTCCCTGTGAACCTTGTGCTCCTTTCGAACTTCAGCTTGAGGGCAGAGGAGAACCTGTGTTCCAATTTGCATGTAGCCCCCAGGTAGCGCACACAAGAAGTGGGAGATATTTGCTCTGCAGGGCTCCCACCTACAAAGGCAGGTCCTTGTCTTCCCAGGCAAGTGTTAAAACTACCTACCAGTTCTGTAAAAACCACCAGTCCCCGTTGTCCAAAGAGCTGATTAAAGCACCACATCTCAGGTAGGTTCCTAAATGCAGAAGAGCAGTGAAATTTCAGACCCAGACCTGTCATCAGTGTTTCCTATTGCCTGCCTTAGTCATTCTGCCTGTTTCTGGGCTGCTGACTGTGGTGAATCCTCTGCTCAAGTGTGTAATTCTTCCTGCTCGTAGTAAAGAGAACTTGGGTGCTGAAGTTGAGTGTGACTGTCCTGCCTGGAGCTGGGCACATAATGGTTAATATACCAATGTTTGGTATCATCATTTCAGTCCTAGGAGAAGGGATTGCCCTTCTTGCAGAAAAATTGTCCTCTGGCAGGCAAATAGGACTAGTTCTGCTTCATGTAATGAACCTTTTTGACCATAGCACTAAGAGTATAGAGCTCTGGCCTTGGATAGGAATCCACAATACGGTCATGACTCCTATGTTATTTCTGGGTGTGCCAGGTCTTGCCAATTCCCAAAGACTGTCATACTTGGAGGAATATTTGAAGCATCTTGTCTTTTCCCTAGGCTTACGCACGATTGAACCCTAAAGCACATTGCCTTTTTGGAAAGGGAAGATGGAGAAGAAAGACTTCTCCATAATGGGAATAGGTAACCGGAGCTGTAATCACAATGTGAAGGCTTTTGCATGGTTGAGGTGACAGCAGAGTGTAGGGATTAGTTGCCAAGAGCTTTGGAATTCAAATGCATTATTTAGCGCTATTGATAATTCAGTGGGGAAGCTGCAAAGGGCTTTAAAATATTCAGGATATTGTCCGAGTTCATGCTTTATTTAATAAGTTGTGTTTTTCATTTGTGATGTTAATCAGTGCCTGTTCTTTCTCACTCCTCCAGGTGGGGCAGACCTACATTCCCTCTTCTGTGCCAGCAACCTTTGCCCCTTCACCTACCCCAGCGGTGGTGAGCAGTGGACTCAACGATCTCTTTGAACTCTCATCTGGTATAGGCATGGCCCCGGGAGGATATGTGGCTCCAAAGTCTGTACGTAAGAAAAAGAGCAATCTATCAGTACATTGCAGTACTTTAGGTGACAGGGAGTGAGTGGGAGAGTTCCTGTCCTCTTTGTTGTTGCTCTCTGGTGCTATAAGGACATCTTAGTTCAATTCCATGCCATCAGAGGTGCGCTCTACGTTTCTCTCAGGCAGAGCAATGGTTTGGTGGAGACAGGCTTAGTTTCACACTTGTGTTTTTCAGCAGTACCCTCATTTTGCCTGTAACAGTGTTATTCTACAGAATGGCTTATAGAAGCTGTGAGAATTTCAACTTTGTGGAAGCAGCTTTCCTGGAGACCTAACTTTTAGCAAGGTTCCCCAGTAATCTGAGGGCAGGATGCCATTTGCTACAACTTTCATAGACTCCTTCACTGCCGTGTTACGTTCCTCTGAATAAATATAAAATTGTGTGGTCGGGGTTGAGCATGCTGCAGTGTAATGTGGATAAATGCTCTATTAGTGACGGAGGTGGTAGATGCACTGACTGAAGCATGCTTAGTCTGGAGGGTTCATTAGATAGATAGATTAGCTAGAACGTGGTTCTATTAACAGGCTGTGGAGCAGCCGTTGGAGTGTTCAGGTTTGGCCTTTCATATCTGAAAGGGAATAAAAAAACTTACTCTCTTATTAAGTAGTCAATGGGTGAATAAACTACAGTCATCCTGTGAAATATAGGATCTCAAGGTACTGCAAAACATACATCAAGGTTTTGGTGCTTAGCTGTTTACAAGTCACGTACCAAATGAAGCCAACTACAGAAGAATCCAGTAATTTTGAGATGAGAAGGACTTCCTTTTGAACCTCTCAAACCTGAATCTGAGTTTTTCCACAAAGTTGCTTTGGGAATCCAGAATCCAAACAACTAATAGTATCAGCCCTTGATTTATATTGGTTCAAATTTTAGCACTGTCCTGCCTGTAATAGCCCAACAAGTCCTTGGAGAAGCCTGTGCATCAGCAGACTTGGTAAGTCTCACATTGGTGTGATGGGCACAAACTCTGACTGTTTCTCGTGCACACTAATGTTTAGTATATTTGAGTTCTTATGTGAGTGCAGTAAACAAATATGGATTAGGAAACCAGCTTATTTCTTGTTGCTGAGCTTGATCCTTTCAGCACCTCATGTTGTATCTTCCCTGTAGTGTTTCTTTTGCATTTGTGTGCTTAATGTGCCAGTGTAGCTGGATTTCCTAACTGAAGACCCTTTCTGTTGTTTAGAAAACTATGCTTGTTTGTTATCTTCAGGCCGGATTTCCTATGTTGAATGAGAGCTCTTGTGTTTCAGGTTTGGTTGCCTGCAGTGAAGGCTAAAGGACTGGAGATTTCGGGCACGTTCAGTCACAGGCAAGGACACATCTACATGGAGATGAACTTTACCAATAAGGCTTTGCAGCACATGACTGATTTTGCCATTCAATTTAACAAGAACAGGTAAGAAAACTATATACTTAGTCTGCTATGATAAAAAGATCACGTGTCCCCAATGGGAGGAGTCTGTGTCTACGCTGCTATAGCACTTTATGAGCAAGTTGGTCTACTGGTGGGGCAAGACCCTGGAGCAAACCTCCTTACCTGTATCGCATTATCCTGCGTGTTGGTCCTGCTCTGGCTAGACTACTGTTTACTGGTCAGGAGAACATAAAAGATTGTTTGAGGCTTGACTGGGGAAGGAGAGCAAACAGGGTAGCTCTGGCAAGGAGTTACTTGTATAAACCAGGCAGGCCCTTATGTAGGTGTGTAATTCAGTCATGAAAACAGCTGCTAGACACAGCCTGCACTCTCTATCACACCACAGTTTTGTGAAACAGCTGAAAATTCAGATTGATAAATTTGTGTTGTTTTTTCAGTTGTCTGCTCATACTGCAGCCTTCTTGCTCCAGTGAGGAATCAGGCAGCAGGTGGTCCCCTCTTTCTCCTAGCTTAAAGTAGCATCTGCCCCATTTAATCTCTGCAAAATTTTAAAGTAGCCTCATGAGTTGTTAGGCAGGTTAGTGTTTTTATAGCCAGCAAGTGCCCTGAGGAAAGCATAAACAGGCAAGCATTTGAGCTGCAGAAATATCAATCCCTCATGCCTATACCTCCTGCCTTAGTTGCTGTGCTGCCCCTCGCACTGCCTGGAAGCGCTGGTCTTATTAATAAAGCCATTTGTCAGTGAAGAATTTTCAAAGTAAGAGCCTATAGCGCATGTTTTCTCTACAATTGGTAGCAAAATAATTTTGTCAGAAGGAGCAGTCACTTTAATGTCTAGAGCATACAGATTGTTCTCAGAAACCTGTCTCAGCCAAAAGACATGCCATGGCAATGCAACCCCAATGGCATCACGTGAATACCCTTCTCAGCTGCAGAGCATGTGGTGCAATTTGCTGTAGATTATCTTGAACAAGTACATCAAGGACCAGGCTGGTTCTTGTCAAGACTGTAAAGGACATGTGACTTAATATTCCCCTTATTTCTTAAAAGATCCTGTCACAGAAAAAGCGTTCTCTATACCAGAGATCCACTGAAACTGTCTTTTTAGCATCACTGCTAGCTTTGCAAATTTGGGATTTCTTGGGACAAATAATATTTACTTACGAAAGACATTATGCGAAGTAAGTCTTAGTAAATGTTCTCCCTGGACGGCTATATATTACGGAGAGTTTTGCAAGGCTGCTGTAGCCAAATTTTTCATGCAAATTGGCCTGAAAAAAAGGCGTTTGACTCTTGATTTTCTCCATACATCAAGCTCTGTTCTAGCCACACTTACATGGTGCCTCCCAAGTAAGAAGTTTCAATGCTGTACAGTAAAACATCAGTTTCTCCTTTTCCAGCCTATTGGCACGTATTCCATATATAATCTACTACTGTTTACTCCTCAAATTCTGTCCTCCTGTCGTCACTTTCCACTGTGACTTGTGCACTGGGAGAAGCTGCAGCATGCTAGCTCTTTGAGCTTAAATATTAAGTCTGTGATTCAGGAGTTTCTATTGCATTTCCCCCTCTCCTGCTGCTAATAATCACATTCACTGTGGTCTTGGGATAAAGTATTTGGAGGGGGGGGGAAGGGGGAAGAAAAACCGTAGAGTTCTAGTGTGCTGTATTGTCACTGCCACTTAGTAGCAAAATGCAACTTTCCTTGAGCCTAAGGGAACACAGTAGGACTTTTTATGTCCCACAAGGTGAGATGGCTGCAGAAAGCAAATCCCATGGCTAGGCTCTTGCTGAAAATATTCTCATTTCAGCTCCCTAGAGCTGAAAGCTAAGGAAAACCAAGAAAGGGCCGTCTGGTTTCAGAAAGAGCAGCATACCCAATACACAGGTGTCTAGTTTTGTGCAGAGGCAGCATCAGTTTTTTGGTGCATGAAATAAGAATGTATGCCTATACATCTTTGTGTTCTTATAAATGCTCTATTACCTCTGAGTTAACATGAATTCTGTTAAAGAGAAACATGAGTACAGGTAGATTCCCGAACTGTCATGCTTCTGTACTTCAAACTGCTTTTGAATGTAAGCCAGTACATAGGACACAACTGTCATGTTCAGCATTAGCCACCTTTCCTCTTCTCTGCAATAAGTAGACTTGCCTATGGGATTAATCCAGTCTCTTGGCTAGGCTGGAGAGGCATGTAAACGTTCACGTTGCCATGGTGGTGTGTGTCCGCAGCTGAAGGAGTCTCAAACCAAGCAACAGAACCAGGGTCAAGTCCAGCTGTTGGCATCCAGAACCAGACAGCTGGCTGTGTTGACTTATTTATTCCACAGTGCTGCTGTTACAAACTACATATTTCTTCTTGGTTATGTATGTGTTCTGTATCAACTTCAATTCCTTCTTCTGTAGCTCCCCAACACTGTAACAGCCATGCAACGTGTGGTATACTACTTAAAGTGCTCTGTAGTTCTGTAAGAGACTGCCCAGAGGCCTCAGTCTTTCTCCCTGTTTTTCTGAGTCCATGTGCTGTTCCTTGCTGGGCAGGCTGCTGCTCAGTAAGTAGACCAGTGCCATGCAGGACTTAATGGAAGTGTTCCCAGATGCTGGTCCCCTGGGCACAATGTGCACGTTGTCAGGGAGACTGACCTGATTCAGCTTCCTGTGCCTTGTCCTACTTTGAGTACCTGCCGTGGTGCAAATTGTCAACTGTGATCATCTCCGTGGGGTAACAGCAGGTGCAGCTCAGGAGTAATAAGAAGAAGCTGAACCAGCTTGTGCTTGGAAGAAGGGAGAAGAGGTGTTGGGACAGCATCTCTGGCATCTTCCCCATAGAGTCAGGCCAGGGCTCTTCAGCAATGCGGTGCTGCTGTCATCACCTCTGTTTTTCTCTTGCCCAGCTTTGGGGTCATCCCAAGCACCCCACTGGCCATTCACACACCTCTGATGCCAAACCAAAGTATTGATGTCTCCCTGCCTCTCAACACCCTGGGACCAGTCATGAAAATGGAGCCTCTGAACAACCTACAGGTAAGGATTGTCTCGTTCCAGGTGGGGGGGGGGGGGGGGGGGGACCAGCGGGCGCTACGCCCTCCAAAAAGTTGTGCATATAGGGTAACTATGCAGAGTCAGATTATCATACGGTGGTGGGCCATGAATCTGGCCAAAACTCTTCCTTTTTCTGGTATCTTCCAGGAAGACTGAGGCAGGAGCTTCTTGAATTTTGTCATGTGCTTTTTCAAACACCTCAAGCCCACTACTTGTCTTCCTGCATCTCTGCAGATAAGGCCTCTCTCTGCTCCAGCAACATGGCATGAGGTTTGGTTAGGCTTACGAACTAGAGCTGGTCTGACCGGAGAAAGCACCTGCCTGTTGTGGAGCAGGCAGTGCGAGATGTCAGCAAGAACTGAGGGAATTAAAGGAATCACAGGAAAGAGGGTAACTGCTGAAGCAGAGATTAATACTTCTCTAGTGCTCATAACTTCCAGGGTGCTTTACCAAAGTACATTGGTACTTCTCTGCCCAGGTAGCTTAATCTAAGGCAAACAAGACATGATCCAGGAAGAGCAAGGGAGAAATGACGGAAGCAGCAAATGTTTCATTAATGAAGCCGTTCTGAGCCTGTTGGGTACAGTAGAGCAATCTGCGTTCCCTAGAAGAGATTTTTTTTATCAGATTGGGTGGCCTTAAGCAAGGTAGATCCGTGGAGGTGGTTCCCCCAGTTTGGGCTCAAGGCCGTCTACGTCAGAACTGGCTTGCATCAAGGGCACTGGTCTCGTCCAGGCTCTTCTGACATGGTCGTCAGGCAGGCACGCTTCCCACCTGGGGAGGCTCTTCCCTTTTGGTGTCCTGCGCAGTCACTCTCTGGAGTTCAACTCAGTAAGTGACTCCTCTCTCTGCTCTGTTTAGCTGGGTCCTCCATGAAGACTTTCCCAGTATCCCAAGGGTGCAGTTAACTTGTACTGTGGCAAGTCTTGCTCGCCTCATGTCTAGAGGAGATGAGAACTAGGTTGGTTTCTTGTAGTGTAGCAGCCCATAGAAGGGAATATATCTCATTTTGAAGCAGCTCATACGCTTTTTAGGTTAAAAGAATGACATGAAAGTTACTATTTATTCTGCCTGAGCAACTATTTTTTTCCACGTCTTTTGACTTCCATTCTGGGACTTATGACTTATTGATGAGTCTTGGGCAAACAACTCGAAATAGCTTCTCTGGCGCTCAAACGAGCAGTCCTACACTCCGGCTCTGAGCTCAGTCATGTGATTGGGGAAGCATGTGGACAGTGAATGAATTACATGTGCTGTCTTTCACAGAGAGCTTTTTTGGCTTGTGGAAAAGCTGATTTCCCTCTGCATCCAGGTCACAAGCATGTGATTACAACAGCTGACCCAAATGCAGTGATGTAAAGTCTACTGCCTTTTCTGAAAGAAATTTGGAAGTGTAGGAGCTATGAGTCCTGATCTGCTTCCATAACACTGGAGACTCCCTCAATGAGGCATTCTCAAGTTGTTGCTTCCTTTGATCAGGAAGGAAGTGAAGTATTTGGGTTATTGAATCTCTGAAGGAATCAGAACACGGTTTTTCTTGGAGCATCTTCTGCTAGAACAAAGCAAAGATAAAACATGTGAGGAAACCTCTAGCTACCTTATATTGAGATAGCAGAGCATTCATTAGTGCCAGACTTGGTTGCTAATTTGCTAGTTATCTCATTGCCATAGAAGTTGGCTGCCCTTTTCCAATTGGGGAAGCTGCCATATGGAGTAATAGTATATTTCTCTGCAAAGAGTTGAATCATGATAGCAGATGCCAAGTTAAAAAGAGCGCTCCCCTTACTTTCCTGACAGCAGTGGGTTTGATGGAGATCTGTCATTGCCCTGACAGCCAAGGCTCTGGTTTTATGTTTTGTGAGTTCATGTTGAAATTATCTGTCTTGAAACATTCAGGAATCATTTTGGTGACCTACTTAGGGAACAATTTATAGCATAATATGGAAGTATAGAATACAAACGTCCCTGTACTCACTGAAGAACCAAAACACTCAATTCAAGATGAGTTTGCTTAATATAATTTTTCTAAGCTTGGAAACATTGAAGTAGAATTCAGTTTGAACCAAATGACCTTATGTTCATCTTCTAGTCTGTTTTTTTTGTTTGTTTTAGTAACAGAAAAATAAGTCCTGAGGCAACCGGACTGATAGCTTTCAACTTTTTGGCATGTTAATCAGAAACTTCAAAGGCCAATAGTACATTCCTTAGGCAACTATTTCAGAAGTAATGAACTCAAGTCTTGTTCAGGCTATATTTTGATTACTGTTTCTAATCTTTCACCGAATACAGCTGGTTTAATCTTAACATTTGTAATAATAGAAAGAAACTAAAACATTTGACAAGTCAACAAAAAGCCATTTTTACAAAAAGGAGAGGAGGACTGAAATATTTTCAGAGGCTTTCTTAAATGAAATTTAACCATGGTGCCCCAATGAACAGACTTCTCTGTTTGCCAGTCATCTTGCAGCGTGTGATAATGAATAGCAGGCTTCTCCTTCCCATCCTAAAGTAGCCATGAAAATATTTTTGACTTCTTGAGATCAAGACTCAGCCAGGTTCAATACCCAGTCAAGCAATGATTATTCAAAGGATAAAGCCAAAGTGAGAATGCGCACAGCACTGTAGGCTAAAGAGACTCCTGTCCCTGCTGTCTGGTTCATCTCTTTTACTTCTCCCAGATAAAAAAGCTGCTATCAGAATGCTCTTGGAGCATACCTATTACTAAAGAAAAATCCGATGTGGTGGTTTGTGCACTGCTAATTTCCGCTACTGATGGCAGCTGGGGAACGTGTCGGCCTTTCAGAGGCTACCTGGCACTTGTGGGTGCTGCAGTCCACCTGCCCAGAGCTCACTCTGCAAAGCATGGCAATTACAAGCGATTACAGGCTCTTGCCCAAAGGTGTGTGAGAGGCTGTGTTGATCATCAGAAGCGTATGGAAGCCTTTATTTGGTTGCCAGCTGGGCAGATAGCTCCAGCAGTTGCACAGATTTGTTTGGGTCCTGTTGTTGCATTGTCACAGTTGAAGCTGTGAAACCCATGTGATGACTGGTAGCCCAGCAGGGTCGTCACTGGAAGGAGAGATGCAGTATCTCTGCCACGTCATATATGAGACTTTGAGCTCTCAAAGAGGAAAATGGATTCTGATTTTGCGTTGTGAGGGATCTTCTTTCCAGACTTTTTCTGGGCTTAGAGCCGTATTTGGAGTAAGAAAAAGCCTGGGATGAGCGCTTTCCGATGGAAAAAGAGAGCCACTGTTCCTAATAAATGACCTTCCAAAGGCTGTGAAATGTTGCGGAATCAGAATACTCAATGTTGTTCATTTGTGTTCACGAGAATTGCTCCCCTAATCCTAGAAACAGGTGAAGTGGAGCTAGCCTGCTGAGAGAATTTCAGGCATCAGGGCTGGCCTGTCATGGCATAGGTCTGATGGTCTTTACTGTGAGATGGTAACTACTTGCAGGAGCTGATACAATCAAGAACAAACTAGAGACCCCCAGACCAGCAGTGTGTCTGCCTGAACCTGGAGCAGCAGCGTTCTCGTGGGATAAACATTCAAAATCGACAATCAGTGCTTCCCACTCCCTGGCACTACCTGGGGGGAGCTGCTGAGCTCGCAGCCCAAGGGAGCATGACTTCAGTTTCCCAAAAGGCTCTTAAAATGATTTGGACTGGACTGGAGAGCGTTGGAAGGGACTTATCTGCCAACTGCCTTTCTTCCTGGAAAGTGACACTTGGAAACGCAGACCTCTCCCCTGCCGCTAAAGCTGTCTGAGTTGCAGAACGTTTCTTAGTTGTTTCTCCCAATGTGTTTGGCAAAACATTATTTTTTCCAAAGGCAAATGAGAAGAGGTCGATCTTGCTAATGCACTAGATCATACTTATCCCTCAGCGCACAGTTCTGCTGCAGCTCATCACCTGTGCTCCTGCTTTCTTCAGCTTCTCGCTTGTCATGCAGAAATGCTAGAAATCTCATTCATGAGAAGTGTTGATGTATCTCAGGTCACAAAGGCAGAGCCCTCAGCAGTTTGAAACAGATTTCACACATTCAACTTGATAAAAACAAGGCTGCCATGAGCAGCAAGTCCAGCTTGGTTTTGTTGCCTAGATTTTTTTTTTTTTTTAACAGCCTCTGCTAGTGAGAAGGTTTTATTGCAGCAAAGAGAGCCCACCCTGAAAGGCTCCCTGAACGAAACACTCAAATCACAGCTTGGAGTCTGCAGCCGGTTCCTAGCGCCACTGTGGAAAGCTGTTGACTTCCTGATTAAGGACAGGTCTGGCACATGGTAGAGTACATTTGATAAAATATGCGTTTTGAACTTCTAGTACAGCCAGACACACATGAGAGCAGAGCTCTTCCCCAGTGACTTACTGTTCCCTGACCATTGACGCAAGTGGCGTGCAAGGAGGTGACAGCTGCCGCCAAGGGCGCAGCACCCAGCCTCGCTTGGCATGCGCGCAGCTCTGCTGCCCGAGCTTGAGATTCGTGCCTGTAGGTAGAGGACCCGGCTAGCAGCGGCTGTCAAATGCCTGTAGGATCCCGAGAGCCCGACCTGTCAAATAAGATGAAGTGAAGTAGATAGCACTCCCTGGAGGCATCTGACAGCCAGAGCAGCAGACTGCCACAGAACAAACCGCGACCTTGTACTGGCAGAGGTAAAATAGACTCTGCAGAGGAGAGTTCTCGCCTTAGCAGCTTGGCTGTTACCAGACGTTAAAGCCAAACCAAACTTTAAGTAAATCCTTAATTTAGTGTAGGTGCTAATGGGATTCCAAGTGGGTATGTTGTGTATTCACTGCTGATGGAAAGCATCTGTGTGTGCTCTCAGACCTAACTTAGAAAGTTAGTTCGTATGCTCAAGTCTGAGATCTAAAGCATCGGCAGCCTACGCTATTGAAGAAAATAGTTTGGCATTATTGTCATGAGGTGCTTCTTCCCCAAAATACTGTGTGTTGGCCATCAGAGGGTTTCACAGCAGGAAAAGGTATCAGAAGGGCTCTCATGCAAGGTGAACAAATATGTCCCAGGGTTATTTCTCCAGGCACTGATTCCTCTAGTCAGAGAATCACAAACAGGATGTAAGCAACTGGGAACTCTGTGCCTGTTTCCAGTGGGCTCAGACCCTCTCAGCAGTGAAGCATTGCATGAAAATCCAGCACGTTTGACTTTTATCCCTCAGAAGCTTGTAGTCTGCTGAACTGAATTCACAAGGTAGTAGTATTTTCTTCTTCTTTCAAATGAGATTGCAGACAGAAAGCCATTTTGATATTAAATGTTTCTGTCTCAACTCTCAAATGTTTGAGGCTGAAGGTTTTTGTTAAAGATTTAATAGTCCGCGTGCAGGCTGGCGGGTTAAAGCTGCAAAGCCACAGGACTAGAGGATTTATTGAGTGCAAGTGGAGGTTCCTTTCAAGTATGTCAAGTCTGGAGAGACTTCTCAGCTACTGGTATCGTTTTAAGTGTCATTGGTTGTCTCAGGCCCGTGTTCTCACTTAAGGAGCACTAGATTTTTTTTGGAAAGTGGCTGCTGTTAGCTACTCAATTTCTCTTACGTTGCTTTTGTAGCCTGTTAGATGGCAGTGAGTGCGCCTGCTATGGCAGTGAAAAGATTGAGGCGCTATTTTGGAAAGGTGTTATGAGCTGGCAGGGCCTGCAAGCCCGCTCTTGGTCTGACATCTGTCCAGCTAGCTGCAGGCTGCTTTGCATGGACCAGGTTTTGGAGACTGCAGCGCTAACAGCTGCAAGCCTGGCTGTTTCGGGTGGGGAAGGATGTGGTGTTGCATGATGGAAGCTACTCAGAAAAACTTACCGGTCTTGTCCCAGGGCTATAGGTAACAAGGGGGGACAGGAGCTCTACCCCTCCCTGTTTGCAAATTTTTTTGTAACAGCTGACTTCGTGCAAGTCACTGTAACGATGCAGGTATTGATGTCATCACCGAAGCCAGTGATGCAGTTTGGTAGGAAGGCTGGAGGGTGGCTTGCTGTGCTTTATTGGGAAGAAATTGCCCTTTGGAGCACGTTAATTGCGCAGCTCCCTAGAGTACGGCCAAAGCAGCTTACTCAGGATGTTTCTGCAGAGTTGAGAAGCAGGTCAGCAGATACCTTTTTATAGCATTTTTATAACTGCAGGGACAGGGTTAGCATATCAATTTGGTGTGCGCCTCTAGAGCCGTGACTGGAGAGAAGGCACTTCTCTCCAGCCCCTCTCGTAAGTAGCTGCTGTTGTATGGCAACAACAATTAGCTGCAAAAGCTAACTAATCTCTGTTGTTCTAAGGCAGAGCAATTAATCATTAAATCAGAGCTGGAAAAGATCTTAGGTCATGCAATGTAGTCCCTGCTATGCTTTGCTGTTCTGCTACAGTGCACCTTATTGAGAGCATTATCAAGGCTGATCTTGAATACTGGAGCTTCTCTCTTCCTCAGGAGAATTTTGTGCTGCTTAATAATTTTCACTGTCAAGTTTTCTTGGAGGTTTAGCCTAAATTTTTCTTCTTTTGGTCTGTCTCCATGGCTGTTGCATCCAAGCGTAGCGTCTAGAATGATTACACTGCTTTCCTTTCCAGAACTCTCCCCTCTGAGATTCAGAGGTGCATTTTTGGCTGCTCAGCCACTCTGTTTAATCACAGTTTGCAGACGTGAATCACTTAAGTCCATCCAGCAACCTGCTTTTGCCCCTCTGGCTTAAGTGTCTCTAGCAGCAGTAAGATGTTAAAGAGCTGGCTGTAATATTCCATCCTAGCTCTCAGCACTCAAACTCACAAATATGACGCCAGCAGTCAAAGCATGTGACAGCTCCCTATTAGAGGGCCACATGGATTTTATTTATTTATTTAAGGTTGCGCTATAATTTACATGTTTCTAGCAGGCTTTAAACTAATCCCTTCTTAAAAGCTGGCTTGCACTATGGGAATTAAATATAAGCCACTACTTTTGATGTTGGCTGAGAGCGCAGAAACCCCGTAGACTGTCACTTCTACCTTTTTGGTTTTCTTTGCTCTTCTGGGACCTTCCCGATTGCTGAAGGTGTTACTTGTTTGGGAACCTTGTCTCCTACCGCTTGGGCTCTGGCTCGCATGCATGTCCAACCAGCTGCCTTGTGTGTGAGTTCTCTGGTTTGTTCCCTTTCTCTGTCTATCCACAGCTGTTTCTTACAGACATTTGGGGATTTCTTTCTAAACCTGCTGCTATTGGACAGCAGATTTTCTCAGCAAAACACTAATGCATGTAATTATTAATATGAAAGGAGTTTGTCTTGGCTTAAGTCTTTGCAGCAGGAAATTTATATTTGGCTCAGCATTCAGCTTCGTCTGGTTTGGATTTTTTTCAAAGGAAGCAGGAGCTCAAACAGCCACTGAAATTCAGGGCTCCCCACACAATCTCATTTCTAGGTCCCTCTTACAGGCTCTTTCCTCCTTTTCAAGGAATGGCAGGTGTCTGCTGAACTATACTCCAGTGACAGGTTATCGCAGTGCTGGAGGATGTGAGGAGAGCGTGAGCGGCATAGAAATAAAGCCCACAGCTACGTTTTCTGTGCTATATTATGACAGTGCACTTTCTCAGACCTCTGGTTTGCTCCTGCTGTAGCATCAGCTCTCAGCCTGGGGAAAATTGAATTGAGCTTGCTCTCTACGTTAGCAGAGATTAGTCAGTAATGTGGCAAGCATGGGTGAGAAAGGGCAATCCAGTGCATCTCCCCAGCTGACAGAGTTTAATGACACTGAGGATTAAGTCTTTTGTCAAGGGATATTTTTTTACCTGCCCTGATTGCTCTACAGCAGAACTTTCTTCCAGCCAAGCACAGAATAAACACCCACCGTATGTTCTCTATCCAGCTTGCACGAGGGTAAAGGCAGTAGACTTGAGAGAGACTACAGGAACGTGCAGACGGTGCAGGAGAAGTGGACCGGCTTCTGGCTTTGTAGAAAGCATCCAGGCTGGAATAGAGTTAACCAAGAAATCTGCATGTTCAGAAACAACTGAGACACTGGGGTAAAACAAGAGGCTACATGGTGTTTCAGAGGCTGGGAATTACAAGGGTGAGGTGACAGAGATGGGAGGTGAACAAGCTCATGTGCAACAGGAGGACAGACATGATAGTAGCTGCGTGCAACCAGAATAGATGAACATAGATAGGCGGTGGAAGAAGGTTGGGGGAGGGAGAGGCTGAACAAAAGTAGAAAAGGGCACGGATGCTGGCTGTGACCCTGCCGATGTGACTGGCTCTGAAGCAGCATCTCACAGGAGATGACTGAGCAGCTTTTAGTGAAAACAGAGCGAGTACAGTGAACTGCGCCTGATCCTTGTCTGTGAGCTACCCTGCAGCTCAGCTACACCTCTCCAGGTAGTCCTGTGTTGAGAGTTTGCCTCTGCTTGGAGAGAGCGCTCCTGCATCCACGCGCAGGAAACGGCTGTGCGAGGCCTTAGGATCCCTTTGAACCTCCAGCCAACATTGATGTCTTTTACTTCAGCTGCCTAATTCCTCTCAACGTGCTTTTCGTAGAGGATGGCAAAATGGGTGAGTGTTGCTTAGATCTGTGGTCAGCCTCCCCGCGCCAGATTGTACTAGCAGCGCCCAACTGGGTGCAGTTGTCCCATGGCTGAGATTCACGTGTACTTGGCCGCTGTCTTCATGCCAGTGTATCTCAGCAGCCTCAAGTGGTTAGCAGCGGTTGGATAGCCTACCCCTGTTGTCTTGCAACATCCATAGAGTTATGCTTCCAGAACCAAAGTCCTCGGCTCTGACTCTCTGCCAGACAAAGGGTGGATCTGTTTTCTTTGAGACTTATTTCTGGTTTTGTTGGAGGGGTGGCTCACTTAAATGGATCTGGGATTTGCCCCTATAGCATTTTCATTGCAACTCTTGTGTTCCTGTTCTCCTTTATTAAATTGTTCTTTGAATTGGCTGGGAAGTTGCTTGGAAAAGCAGCCTCTTTTCTTTTGCCATAAAATAATCCTGAGTGTGTGGGTCTCCTTCCTTCTTGTCAAATCCCACCTGTTCTTGGTTTGTAAAGGGTTCGTTTGGTAAAGACTTTCTTTGCTATGAGGGTTCTGAAAACCTTCAAAGCTTTGCTGCTTTTACAGTAAGACTATGAGATTACTGTAGGAGCAAATCTTGGATCTGACCACGATAGGGCAAAACAGGACCAAAAGATTGTTTGTTTGTTTTCTCTACCTTGTATCGTTCTGTGTTGATTTAATTAATGCTACAGTCTGGCAAGGAGTCAGGAGTGCTGATCATCTTTCTTATTTGTAGAGCGCCAGGTCTTCCTCGCAACATGGAAAGATATTCCAAATGAAAACGAGCTGCAGTTCCAGATTAAAGACTGCCACCTGAATGCCGGTGAGTAGCTTCGTTCTACTGTACTGAGAGCCTTAAGCAGCACCTTTAATAAATGGTCGGTAGACGATCACCTTATCAATAGCATTGTGTCTGGATAACGGATAGATGAGTATTGCACTTGTGAACAGAATCGCTTGTAAGCTCTGCGTCCTGGGGCTTGTTTGAAATCAAAAACATGACCAGAGTCTGTAAAAGCATGTCTAAAATCCCAGACCTTAGATTTCACCTCTCTGCTTCTTCCTTTCATTCTGCGTCTTGTATTCGTGTTTTCTCTTCTAGGCTTCACTTCCCTGTAAAGCTGTTCTTAAATAGAGCTGGATACTGTATATTTGGGCTGTTCATCAATCCTGTCTTGCTACTGTGTGCATCGTGCTGCTAGTGTATGATGTGGTAGTTTGTTAAGGTGCCTTGCCATTACCAGTGTAAAGAGCACTTGTGAACAGGGCTAGGAGATGTGTTCCAGCCCTTACTTTAACCTGCTGCCTCGCTCTAGGTCATTCACTTTGCCTTTCAGCATCTGCTTTCTTCTTTCTGATTTGAGAAAATCATCTTACGTACCGTTGTAGAAATGTTTTGACGTCTATGGAGAACAAGCCATGCGAGAGAAGAGTTTTGGTCTGCCGTTATTAGTGCTATATTGATGTGTTTTGATCATACTCTATCCTGTTCAGCTATGTGTTTAGTCATCTAGTTGCATATTACTTGTACTTATGACCTTATTACTGCTGAAGGGTGAGGGAGTGTAAAAAGTGGAATGTGGCCAGCAGAGCAGCTTTGTTCCTAGTCGAGAGGTCTGGACAGGAGCCAAGTGATTCTACCGAAAGCTGCGATGTTTCAGAGGAAAAAATGTGTCCCTATTGATTACAAACCCTGTAAGCTTTTTATTGTCTGCTATTACATGTCTGCTATTACACAATGAACACCCTCTTGCTTCAATTGTAGACAAAAACCATGGGTCTCTTTGTACTCGTAATTATTACTATTTTGGAATATAAAAGATGTGACATGCAAGAGGGGGAAAAAGTAGCTGTCTGACCTTACGACTTGATTTCACTGTGGGGTTTCAAGTGAGAACAACCTCTGCGCCTCCCCCAGCTGCCCCTCTGCTCCAGTCCAAGCTTGGCATCGGCCTCTCCGCCCGCACTGCAGCGCTGTCGTTGGTCATGCCTTCTGCCGTGGTCATGCGCTAACCGCACTGTCCGGAACTCTTTGCATCTCCAATTAGAAATGTTGGTAACTTCTCTTCTTTGGTGCTGGTGTGTTGTGGTCCTGGTTAGTGGGGGACATAGCTGGGACGGAGAGAGGAAGTCTGTGTAGCTGCTAAGATGAGTACCTACAGCGTGGTGGCCTGGCGATCCTGCAGACCGGTGGTCAGTGTGCCCATCTGCCTTCAGAAGGAGCTCTTATAAAATGCAGAGTGACAGGTAATGTTCCCTGCTGGGGGAGCGGGGGTGTTTTGTCAGCCAGAGGCCAGATATTTCGGCCAGACCAGCGTGGACTGGTGATGCGCAGTAACACATAGATTGCAAGGAGAGTGCAGTAGCACAGCACGGTTTCTCTGCAGTGCTACTTGCAGCCATTGCCAGGGCTCAGGTGGGAAGAAGCTGCTTTCAGTGTTTTAGCAAGAGCTCTGAAAACAGTGTCTCTCTTGAGTGTGATCAGTCACTTGGGAGGCTCCGAAGTATTCTGGATCTTCCAGCCTCTTTGGCTTATGTTCAGCAGAAAGTGGGTCATGTCTGATAAACAGATTTCAAACACTTCTATCAGCTGAAGCTTCTGTTTTTGTATCTCTGTTGCTGACACCTCCTTCCTCTTGCAACTTTATAGACAGTTTTTTTCCTTGACCACCTGGGCTTTGGCAAAAAGCAGGCCAATAGCTTGCTGGAGTTAAAACTAGGGAAATCTTGTGTGTTTGTCTTTGCCGCTTGGGTTTTAGCTACCACTTCAACCCTGATTCAATAGTTCTGCTACTCACTTTCCTTTAATCTAGGAGTAATCTCCTCTAGTACAGGCCATCCTAGCAGTGTGAAGCTTGTCTATACAAGGATCAGCTGGGCCTAAAACTCAGTGGAGGGCTAGATTTACAACGTGCTCAGGGATGGAAACTTCTCGCAGTGTGGTAAGTGGCTCTGTGTATGTGTGCACCAGGACAGAGGCAAAACAGACTGAGTGAGTTATGAAGGTTTAATCCATGTTGCTACTAGTTTATACCAGAGCAAGGGTGCATATCTGGTCAGTTGCTGCAATGGGGCAGTAATCTTGCAAGATTCACAATCTGGATTACTTGGAATCCAGTGAAAATAGCCTCATTTTAAGTCACCTCCTTGTTTTGGAGAACAGCAACTTCGTATTGTGTATAATATCTTTAGGTACTAGATCCTGATGGAGGAGAGCCTAGTTCATGTTTAAAAGACTTTCTTTTTGGAGACACCTAAGCAGACTAAAGCCTTTTGCCTGTACTGTTGGTGGGATCTGTTGATCACTGATGAAGTGCTGCCTCTGTGTAGCTTTCATACCATTGGCATAAGCTAAGGTAAGCAACTGCTACCTTGGCAAAGCTGTTCAGTCCAAAATCTGCAGATTTCAACAGCTGCTAGCTAAAATTCAAAGGTGCTGAGTTGTTTGCAGCCCTTTGATGAAAAGCTTCTACGAGCTGCCGGCTTCCCAGAGGTGCGCAGGCCACCGCGTGAATCGATATCCCTCCTATCGCATCCTCTCGGATAGCTAATTCATGCCTAACGTGAGCCCACCCACTTGGTGGCGAGTTGCCGTTCAGGCGCGGGGACTCACCGCACCATTCACGCTTCAGTCTAGCTGATTCCAGCCCAACAACGCGGATTTAGCTGCGAGCTAAAAATACCTCTGCTCCCCAGCTGATGTGCCCTAATCGCAGCACAACCAGCCGCTGTTCAAATAGAGCAGCGCGGTTGCAGCAGGCGTCGGGTGGATGGAGCAGAGCATACCGAGCCGTGCGCAGGCTGCTGCGGGGCGGAGGACTAATCAGGAGTCACCTGCACCCCTGCATGCCCGGCTCTTCTCCGCGCTGCCAAGAGCCTTCGCTTTCCTGAGCGATCGGTCCGTCCTGCGCCCGCACCTCGTGAGAAGCGCGGCTGAATTTAGGTGCAGACGCTCGGGCCCTGCCGTCCGGGTCTGCAGGGAATGCTGATTTGCTTCCGTGGGGAAGCTGAAATTTTAAGTAACTTTTTTAGAACAAAAATAGAACATGCTTGGAGCAGAGGTTTAGAGGGTTGGCTTTTATTTGTCAAGGAAGTAGCTTATGATTTCTAGTACGTGTAAGGCTGGCTGTCGCTGTGCAAGTCACCTTACAGCACCTCCTGGGTAAACGGCAGGGTTTCCCCAGGTTGTCCTCCTTGTTCCTGCACAGCAGAAGGAGGTAAACGCACGGAGATGATGCTCCTCTGTTAGACTGTGCTCTTGGAAAAGCCTCATCCTGCACCCGCAAGGCAAACCAGGCAGGGCTCGGGGCTGGGACTCAAACCCACTGAGTGAAAGAGCAGCTACAACAGTGGCACAAGCTGACTTGCACGTGGAGATGAATGCCATTAATCAGGCTGCTATTTAGTTGGTGTGCCGTTCAGCAATTCTGGTAACTTTGTTTTTGCTGATTTATTACTGGCCCTCAATCTGTGGTGTGAAATGACAACTTCATTGTTTTGAGTTGAACATAACTTTATTGGTATGCAGTGGTCATTTTGATTTTTTTTCCCCATGTAATTTGCTAATGCTAGAACTGAGAGAGAGAAATTGGATTTCCTTGCTGGAACAAATTGGGAAACAATCATATGCAAATTTCCCTGGTATATTTTTGTATCTCTGCAAATCTATTAGCTTCCTCTGGGTTGTTAAATAAATTAAAAACCCTGTGTTTATAACATGCCTTAGAAATGACCAAAGTCCCTCCCTGTCGGATCCCAGTTTGCGGATTTGTTTGGTGTTTGAATGCGGTTCCTGGGTGGATGCTCAGAACCGTTCGAGTGTTACTAGAAGTGGAGCAGGGATATCTTCAGCTATCACAAGGCAAGATCAAGTGGTGAAGTTTTACTTCCTCCTTTCCAGTGCTCACTGCAGAATGGCCTTGAGGTCCAAGTTCAGGAAAGTTATGCTCTCGTTAATCCTGTGAATTGTGCATGTCCTTTGTGAGAAACTGCCTTTGTTGCAAACTGGGTATCGTGGATGTCCGAGACGTGATTTAGGAAGGTGGCCTTGTTCAGCTGTTCAGTGTAGGGGAAGAAAACCTGCAAAACACCTGAAAGATGACCTGATGTTGGAGGCTTTCCTGGCACTTATGATGGGGGAAATCTTTCTGTGTCCTTGCGTTGTGCTTAGGGTTCTTTATTAACATGAGAACAAGCACTGAGCTTTTTTTAAAAAAAAAAAAAAAAAAAA